CTTATGCTTGTCCTACTAGCTCTTATAACTTAATTTAACCTGTTTCTATTCATCTGTATTTTGCCTTGGGAATTTTTGCCTTTCTTTCATTCTGTATGTCTTACTGTGTCTGTCTGTCTGTCTGTCTGGCCGATGCCTGGCTGGCCCTGGGCGCCTTCCTTTCTTTCTCTCTCAGTTCTCTTTTTCATTCTACATTCCTCCTCCTACTTTTTATCAGACCAATCAGGTGCCTTAGGCAGGCAAGGTAAAACAAATGCAACACACCTTTACATAATTAAACAAATTCAGCACAAACAAATGCAACACACCTTTACATAATTAAACAAATGCAGCACAAACAAATGTACCACATCTTTGCCTAGTTAAAGTAACATTCCACAACATAAACAAATGTAACATATTTTTACATAGGGCAGATATGTGTCTAATATGCATGAAGCTCTAGATACAATCCCAGTAGCACACAAACATGGCAAAATGGCACACATCTTCAATTGCATCATTTAGGAGGCAAAGGTAGAAGAATCAAGAGTTGAAGGTTATTCTTGGCTATACAGCAAGGAGGCTATATTGGAATACACGAAACTGTCCAAACAATGGTTTCCAAGGAGACAAGATCCAACCCACATAGGGTCCTTGCAGAGGTCTGGGTCCCCCACCACCTTCTGCCTGGGCAGGTAACTTGGCCAAGGGTGATTGTCTCTTAAAGTGAGGAGGGCAGCAATGCTGGCTATGAAGGCTCTGTGTAGGGAGTAGTTCCCCAGGTGGTGAGACAGGGTTCTGTTCTTTCTAGTAGGTGAAGGGAAGACAGGAAGGTACAGAGCACCCCCCCCCCCCCGGGGGTTTCCCAGCCTCTAGGCCCTTGGCCTGGAAGTCCCCCTGCCAGTCCAGCTCCTACAGGAGTGCAGACTCTCCATGTCATCCATGACTGGCACCCCCCACCCCCGATGGTCCCTTACTCCTATAGTGTTTTTTTTTTGTTGTTGTTGTTTTTTTTTTCCCGAGACAGGATTTCTCTGTGTAGCTTTAGAGCCAATCTTGGCACTCACTCTGGAGACCAGGCTGGCCTCGAACTCACAAGAGATCCGCCTGCCTCTGCCTCCCGAGTGCTGGGATTAAAGGCGTGCGCCACCAACGCCCGGCCTTTTTTTTGTTTGTTTGTTTTTTGTTTTGTTTTTCCAGACAGGGTTTCTCTGTGGCTTTGGAGGCTGTCCTGGAACTAGCTCTTGTAGACCAGGCACTCCTATAGTGTTTTTCTATCACTCTTTTTCTGGAGTGTTTTCCCATTGACTGCCACCTTGCTGAGGGCTAGAGCCGGGTGAGGGAACAGCAGCAGGGCATGGTAGTGTATACTTGGGAGTTTAGGGGCCAGCCTGAGCAACAGAGTGGGGCCACATGGCCTACCTCTCCTTAAAGAGAGGATATCCACAACCTTCAGGGATAGAGGCAGTGACAAGATACATGTTGTTTATGGTGCAGATGAGAAACTGAGCTGGTTCTGGCGGTGTGCACCTACACTCCCAGCTGGAGGTTGAGGCGGGATTGCAAATTCAAGCCTTCCTGGGCAATTTAGTGAGACCCCATCTCAAGAAATAAAAGTAGAGCTGAGGATGCAGCTAAGTGGGGGAGTGTTTGTTTGGACAGCATGTGTGTAGGCCATTTCAACCCCCAGCACTGGGGAGGGGAACTCAGTGAGGCCACAGAGCTTACAGTCACTTTGACTTCTCAGGTCAGGGCAGTGTCCTGATGATCCTACCTAGGCTGGACACAAGAGCCTCAGGCTGATCCTAGATGCTGAGTCCTTGTCCTTGCACCAGGCACACAGTTGTGAGGGGACGCTGTCTAGCAGAGCTTGAGTAGGCATGTGTTTCTGCATGGTTAACCTCCAGCTATACACCACAGCCAGATATTGACATGGATCTATGACATTAATGGGGTTACTGTTTTGCTAGTCATGCAGGGAGGGACCTAAAGGGCTCCCTTATGGAAGAGCCCCAATGATGCTAAGCTTCTGCTGGCCTCTGGCTATAAGTCTTGGTGTCTCTGGTGTCCTTCCTTCCAGATCAGGATGTCAGAGGCTGTTAATGGCCAGAAGCCTTAGGTTTCTCAACTCAAACTTTACCCTGTCCTAAGGGCCACTGCCTGGGGTTTTTCTCCCTATGAGGAAGTCTTCTCTGGGGGAGGTGGAGCCCTGCCTTGGCAAAGGGTTACACAGCTCCCAGCAGGGTTTGAGAGGGTGCCAGGCCAGGCTGGCCCTTGGATGAATATGTCTGGTTCTGTGTGATATCCATGGGGCAGACAGGACTTTTGGGGGCAAATAGACCTCAGCCTAGAGGCCATACACAGTATCATTCCGGCACCTCCTGTCGTCCGCAAACCACAATGTGCACACTTGGCTGGATGTAAGGACCTAGCCCCACACCCTCTATGAGGATGGGGAGAATGGCCTACCCTCTGTGAACTCAAGTTCTGGCTTCTTGGCTTGTTCCTTTTGTTTGTTTGTGTAGGGTTTCTCTGTGTAGTATTGGCTGTCCTGGAACTCACTGTAGACCAGGCTGTCCTCGAACTCAGATCCTTCTGCCTCTGCCTCTTGAGTGCTGTGATTAAAGGTACCACCAGGCCTGGTTTAGCTTGTTGTCATTCCAGTCATCACCAGAACAGGTCTAAAGGCTACCCCAACCACTGTGTATCTTGTTTTCGCCTCTTCTCCTATCAACTGGGAACATGTGGCTGGATGAAGGAGGGGGTAAAAATCAGGAGGCTGTTTTGGAAGCCCAAGCTTGCAAGGTCTGCTCCCTGGAGCTTTGCTCTGCCCTGCACAGAGCACCCAGGAGCTAGGCGTAGGGACCATAGCACCCTGCAGGGTTGAGCAGTTAGTGGGCTTCCTGTGCGAGACCCACTTGCCTCTTTGATCCCCACCAGGGAGGCTACACAAAAGCTGCCAGAGCTCTGTCCAGGCTATGGTCCCTCTACCTAGACTGGAGCTAGACTTACAGGCCTATGGCAGTCCTCCTCCTACACCGTTGTGGAGCTGGGAGAAAAGATTTGGCCAGGCTTCTGGAGCTTTCTAAGGATGGAGGGAGTCTTCTAGGCTGTGGCAGGAGGTGTAGGTGTAGCAGTTTCTCAGGAAGAGCAGGGCCTTGGGGCTCCATTTCCTCTTGTGGAGAAGCTGCAGCTGAGCTGTGCTGGCTGACTCTGCAGGCTGGCTGTCCCTGGAACCTGCTACAAGGGAGCAGGTCAGAGCAGGTAGCCCCTGAGGCTTTGGAAAAATGGGGCTGGGAGAGGAGGTTGGAGTGTTTAGAGAAAGAACAGAGAGATTCTTGAGCACACAGACCTGGATCACATATAATTTATTGTCGTAACTGGAACATTTCTGAGAATGAAGGGAGGCTGTGTTAATTACACCAGGAAAAAGATACAAACCGGGACTCCAGGGCAAGCAGACCTGTGTTACCCTGCTCACTACCACTTCCTAGCTGTGTCTGGGCAAGTTACATAACCTTTCTGAATTCTGCTTCCCACATAAAAAAGAAAAGTATGCTATGATGTGTTGCTTTTTAGGGCTAGCTGCTGGAGGATGAGTGGATTTGAGCTGCTGGATGGCCTTAGCATAGACTTGGCTCTCCACATTTCCTCTGTGAGGTCATGGAAGGCCATTTGTCCCCAGAAGTGATCACAGTCACCCATCAGCTCTCTGGAATACAAGGGTCTCATGGGAGTGTGCATAAGACAAAGGTTCCATGGATGCTGCCTGGCCAGAGTTGAGGAGTCAAGCCTCATGATCACTGCTCCTAGGGGAAGGCTCCAGGTTGGCCATTCCTGGTGGATCTTCCTCATGCCTTCCCTTAAGGGATGTCTGTACAGAACACCATTAGGGCCCAGCCCAGGGCAGCTTCACTGCCACTTGCCTTTGCTTGCCTCCTCTGGGGGTTGCCACATGGAATGGTGAATTTCCCCGGGGAATTTGCTCAGACTGGAGGCTAAGTTGGAGGAAAGAGGTAGCTGTGGTTTCTATGTCAGTTCCACCCTAGGATGTTTCACTAGAGCCAAGTGAAGCCTGTGTCTGCTGCTCGTGATTGTCAGATTCTAGACAAATCAAAGCCCCCACCCAGGCTCTGGGCTCCAGCCAGGAGGTTGGGAGAAATGCCTTGTCCTTTTATTTTGGAAACAGGGTCTCATGTGTTCCAGGCTGTGGTCAAATTCATGGTAGAGCTGAGGATGACCTTGAACTCTTAACCCAGCTGGCCTAGAGCAGAGATGGCAGCAGTCCACAGGCTGCCATAGGGAATGCTGGGCCCTGCTGGACCCACAGCTCTCTGGGTGACCTTGGCCATTTGGTCCTCTATTCCTTCTTTGCATCCCAACTGGAGTCATGGTTTGCAAGCTCTGGAAGGCTTTGAAGCAAATAGCTCTTAGCTAACTCATTTGGCTAGTCTCTCCACTAAACAGCCAAAGGCTCCTGGTAGCAGGAACTAGGTGGTTCCTCAACCTAGGTATAGTCCAACTCAGTCTCAGGACATCTCAGGACAGTGGACTGAAGGCTTCCAGCTCCCTTCTGAGCAAGGTCAAGGAGTTAGGTATTACACAAAGGGCAAAGCAGGAAGTATATCAATATTTAATACATTTTTGCCATTGGAGTCAGTTTGGCTATTTTTATCCAATATAGACCAGGCAGGTTCTTTTTTCTTTTGCAAGATAGTGTTTCTCTGTGTAGCCCTGGCTGACTTGGATCATACTGACCGGATTCCTGCCTCTGCCTCCTGAGTGCTGGGATTAAGGAAATGCACTACCACCACCCAGCTATGCTATCCTTTTTTTTAAAAAAAAAAAAAAAAAAAAAAAAAAAGAGAACGTGTCTCTGTTGCCTAGGTTGGCTCTGAATCCCTGGGCTCAGGAGATCCTTTGGCTCAGCCTCTGGAGCCACTGGGACTTTTAGCTGTGTGACACTATACCCAGCACTAGTGCTGACAATTTGACGGGCAAAAGAACAGCACCTCATGTTTCAATTTGTACTTTTAATTAGGGAGATAGAGTATTTCCACACATATTTGTGGGCCATTTGATTTTTGGGAGGGAGACTAGCCTATTCACAACCTTTGTTCTGTTGTCTTCTGTGCTTTTTCTTAATAATTTATAGGTACTCTTTGTATATTATAGGAATTACTATGTAATATGTCTTCTATTTTCTTTGTCTTTTGATTTTTGTTGAGCTTGTTTCACACAAGAAATGCTACAGTTTCACAATGTCCTATGCAGCCTTTTCTTTCTGCTTCAGTGTGTCATGTTACACTCAGAATTTCTTTGGGGTAGATGATTCAGCCATTGCTTCAGATGCTCTGAGAAACAATGGCCGCCACGTTTGCAGTGGCAGCAAAGAAAATGTTTATTTAAAAATCAGAACTATCACATGAGATACATTTAAATATTAATAGATAGGAGTGAAAACTTCAAACGGTGTAAGAAGACTAACAGCTTTCTAGTCACAGATGGTCAGACGCCGACAAACAAGATGTGTGTGCTGAGCGGTGCTGTTAGGAGACTGCATACGAAGGCCTGAGGAATGCTCTATTTACAGGCTTCGGGGGAGCCATAATCCCCAATTTTCTACTTGCTACTGATGTTGCTTGAGAAGCACATGAGGCCGAGCTGGATCCAGTTACACCAGAGAACTTACTTTTAGAAGACGTTTTTCTGCTTGCAGTAGAGACCCTAAAATGTGGCAAAGGAAAGAAAATAAAAATGTTGAATGAGACCAAGTTAATGGTCTTTGTTAACTTGCTAGGAGAACAAGCATGATTTTCTTTGGTCTTGTATTTGTCTACATTTTCAGTCTGGAAACCCCAAGGGGAGGTAAGTTTCCCTTTCTAAAGTATCTATCTCAGTTCTGTGGGCTGTGACCAACCCACAGGCCCTCCCTCCAGTCACACATTCCATAGCTCACTCAGAGTCCTCTGGATCTATTCTGACAAAAGAGGAAGTGAAGACATCTCTTAGAGACCCCAAATCTCTGGCCATCAGACAACCTAGAATTACTACACTGGCACAGTTCCAAGCAAGACAGCTTTGTGGATAGAGGAGACGGGGCAGAACCTCTGGGTGGCCTCTTCCTAGCCACACTAGTCCTAAGAAGGCTGCAGATCTGGCTCCAAGCTGCCTCAAGCATTGGTCTGGCATGTGTCCGGTACACGTAGCTGCATCTCCCCCAAGCTATACCCAAAGATCTGCCAACAACTCCTGCTCACTGCTTCATGTAAACAGGGAAGAGGGCCCTGCCACAACCTGAGCTGAGCCCTGTACAATACTACTTTGCTCACATGAGGGTAGTAATTTTCTTTCCTCTAATAAAACTTAAGCACAAGCTACCCTGTCCGTGGGTTTACAGTGACAGTGGGCAGTCCCTTCAGAGGCTCTGCAAGCCCACTGAGGTCCACCATCAGTTCCTGAATCCAGGGCAGTGGGTGCATCCCAGGGCATTCTGCAAGGGCCAGGTAAAGAGTTTTTCCAATGTTTTAAACCTCTTGTTGAAGGGAAGGCAATTTCACTGCAGATCTGGCAGAGAAACAGCCTGAAGTTTCCCTATGCTGATTTCCTGCTGAGAAATGAAGCCCCGAGCAAAAACCTGCTGTTTATGTTGATTTACAGAATGAATCTGCCAACAGCAGCCTCCATTTCAACGGCTCATCCATTTTCCTCCCACTCAGAGCCCAGAACACACCTGGCTCATTGTGTGTCATTATGGAGAAGGGAGCCCCAATGGTCTGATGGGGTGAAGGGCTCTGGCAAGGAGCCTCAAGTATTCTCCCACTGCACAGGTGAGCAGCGTGGGGCTGGAAACACCCTGGGGGTAGGCTGTGAGACCCAGGGACCAGGGCAGATGCAAAGAAGCTGCTGCTGGTGAAGTTACCAAGCTGGTAGGCAGAAGAGAATCCCTTTTTAAACCCACAGACTAATTACACCTGACATGGAAACTGGTGCTGGCTGTAGGATACTATGATGTTGGTTTTGTGTTCTGAGACAGGGTGTCATATAGCCCAGACTGGCTTTGAACTCAATATTACCTTGAACTCTGATCTTCCTGCCTCCTCCCTCCCAAGTGCTAGGGTCTTAGGCATGGCCCTTCATGCCCAGTTTAAGTATGTGTTTTACTCTTTCTTAAATTATACTCTAGGTGACACAGCAAAGAGCTTCAGTCTCACAAACAAATGTGAAAATTAAAGAAGCCAGCAGCAATGTACAGTATTGGTCTTCTTTCTTCTAACAAGCAGATCTCCCGTATTTTCAAGGAGTGTCCACAGACACGCAGAGCGAGTGCTCTGAGCAGTAGTGCCAGGCCTGTGTCCAATCCCACCTCTGAAATTGACCAGGGAGCCTGGCCTCAGGCAAGCCCTTCCCACAAAGACCAAGCCACTTTTCCTACTCTAAACCCGAGAGGGTTGGACCAGAAGCTTTTTAAGGTCTCATGCTCTGTGAGCGACTAAGGCAATAAGTGTCTCCCAAGGGAGAGGAATAAATGAAGGAAATGAGAAAATGTCCTCATTGAAGAGTATCTGGTGGTCACTTGCGCACTCAAAACCACAAAATTTATGAATGTCTTTAATTCTGTACTCTGGCAGAAGGGTTAGCACTTGTAAAAAGTCTGTTTATGGATTTAACAAGAAATGACAATTTGGTGACATTGCCTTCCTTTCTCTTCCCCCCACTTAATCTTGTTTTTATCTCCCAGAAGGAGAAGAGGTAGAAAAACAGCAAAAGCAAACATAACAGCTTGCAAAAGTCACTGCAGCTTTGTTTCCCCCTTTCTAAGCAATTCTGTTATAATATGGAGTTCTTAGGGACCACCATATCAGGATGGAAGGCAAAGATGCAAGGTAGAAGGTGGAGGGCACCTGGCAGAGGCTGGGAGAGGAGTTGGTGGACACAGTTCAATGGTGGGAAACAAGCCTGCTCCCAGGACCTGGCCACCCTACTTCTGCTTCTCCTTGTGAAGACAAGTTGCAGGCCAAAGCCAAGCAAGGGGAGGGAAGGGAAGACAGAAGCCACTTACACAGCCGTAAAGAGACTTGGCATGCCTGGCCTTTGAATTTCCCTGATGTGGTATCTTCTCAGCTACCCTCCAAGGCATTACAAAGCAGGGGAAGGCTGGGAATGTAGCTGGGCTGGCTGGCTTGTTCAGCATGTGGGAGGCAAAGGGCTTGACCTCAGCACTGCATAAGCCATGTGTGACAGCCCATGCTGGTAACCTCAGCACTCGGGAGGCAGAGGCAGGAAAAATTATAAATTCAGGGTCATCATCCTTGGTTATAAACCAAGTTCAAGGCCAGACTGTGATACATGAGACTCTGTCTCAAAAAGCAGCAGAGAAGCCAAGAGAATCCTACAGCCACAGGGGGCTTGTAGCAAACACTGGCAAACTCACAAAAGCCCTGAGTAAGGCTAAGGGCTAAGTAGTGTATGAGCTTTTGGTGGAAAAGTACCTGAAGAAGAACAATTACCAGCCAGGCATTGGTGGCTCATGCCTTTTATCCCAGCACTCGGGAGGCAGAGGCAGGCAGATCTCTGTGAGTTCGAGGCCAGCCTGGATAGGCTCCAAAGCCACAGTGAAACCCTGTCTCGAAAAACCAAAACAACAACAACAACAACAACAACAACAACAACAACAAAAAGCAATTACCTCAAATAATTTCCAAGGTTAAGGTCAAAGTTCAAGATGTTTTTGGAAACTTTAAAATAGATTATTTTAAAATTCTGAAGCCACCCTTTTATTTTGGTTCAGGTCTTGACCATCAACTTATTAACTAATAATGGCTAATTTAAGTCAGTGCTTTAAACTAGAGCACTTATGTGCACCTTTTATTCCCTGTTTCACCAGATGCTGCAAAAGACAGAGATCGTACCCCTTTGCCTTGAAGCCACCGTAACTAGTTCTTCTCCTCTTGGGCCTTTGGAGGGCTGGCATTTTCTTCCTCTTTCTTTCATTTCTAGCTTGATTTGTAAAGTAGTGAGAAGATACAGGCTCCTCCTCATCAGGCTCCCCCGGGGTGCTCCTTCCAGTGCCTCTGCTGCCCATCAGGCTTATGCCCGGGGAACTGTCCTCAGCTGCAGACAGGAAATGCAGATGTTCACGGTGACCCTGCATTTGGAGCCCAACACTAGCTGCTTTCCTGGTGCTTCCCTGCTACAGGATTCAACAACTCAGCAGGAACCAAATGTTTCTATTTTGAAAAGCTCAAGTGTGTTCAATGGCAATTTATATTTAATCAAAGAGAATCAAAACTCATTACTTAACAACATTTGTGATAATTTTTTAACTCAACTGGAGATGTCAGGTTTAGTTCACACCCTGTTGCATGAGGCCTATGTCCATTTTACACTATGCAACTAGTCTTTGTGAGTCAAAGTGAAGGTTGCCATGAGTATTAGCTGATTTTATTCATCATTTTAAACATGCTGAGAAAACAACTCGATTGTAAAAAGGCAACAAATTATGTTCTCCCTTATCTTTAAGCAATAATCTCTTAATAAAACCAGAAAAGCCACTACCATATTTTACCCCCTGCAGACAGAAGCCATTCCTTTGCATAATTGTTATGAACACTGCACATACCAAGCAGGAACCTGGTCTGAGTGAAACATACATTTGCAAGGGAGAAAGCAATTTCCATAGGTATTTGCATCTTTTTTTTTGGGGTGGGGGAGGTTTGAGACAGGGTTTCTCTGTGGCTTTGGAGGCTGTCCTGGAGCTAACTCTTGTAGACCAGGCTGGTCTTGAACTCACAGAGATCCCCCTGCCCATTTCCTGAGCACTGGGATCAAAGTTGTGTGCCACCACCCCCTGGCTCTTATTTTATTGATTATTGAAGAGGAGGAAGGAGCCCAGCCCACCTTTGGCCACGCTGTCCTTGGGAGGGTGGTCCTGGGGTGTATGGGAGGGCAAGCTGAGCAAGCTAAGTAGGGAACAAGCCAGTAAGCGGCGTTCCTTCAAAGCCTCTGCTCCAGCTCTTGCCTTGGCTTCCCTTAGTAGACTATGACTCGGGATATATAAGTCAAACAAACCCTTTGCTCTCCAAATGGCTTTTGGTCATGGCACTTATCGTAGCAATGGAAACCCGACTAAGACAGCAGGTCTGCTGAGGTTGTATGGCACGTTAGTGGAGGGCACAATCTGCACCTTTACTATCCCCACAGAAAATACTCCTTTGTTCCCAGTTTCCTTCAGCCAGGGACTCCTATACCAGTGCTGGGGCTTGTGATATGGCATCATGGGACACATCTAAGGCAGTCTGTGGGAACCTCTGCTTTGATGTCCTCACCGATTCAGGCTTTTCCACTGACTACTAGCAAGACATGTTCCAATGACATGTTCATTTTCCCAAAGCATTTATGCTCTACTTTTACATGTTATCTTAGACACGCTTGTTAGATAACATGTTCCTTCCTCAGATAAAGAAACTGAAGCACACAGAGGTTGCTGGTGCCCTGCCAAAGATCACATAGTGAGATGACGCTAGATCTGGAATGGGTTCCAGGGCTTGTGACTCCTTGGGCACTTGCCTTACATAACAAAGTACAGGCCCATGGGCCCAGAGATTCCCGTGTGTGTGCTCCATTAGCAGGTTTAATGACTGGCCTCCCTGGGGAACTAAACACCATGTCCTCTTGGAGGTGCCTGCCACACCACCAGGGGCTGTTCCTAGGACCTGAATTTCAGTGTGACAGATGTAGGATGCATTAACCACACAATTCCAATTCAGTAAGATACATTGCTTAACATTAAAACAGGCTTTTAGAAAACACATTTGGCGGGGTACTGAACCTGGCAGTGTCCACTCTGAGTATTTCTGTAATACTGGAATCACTTCTGCACCATATTTTTCCAGCTTGTCTTCAGTAACACCATCAATCTGAAGTAAAACCTCAGGATCAGAGGATAAAGATTCTGCATTTGGACATAAAATTAAGAATTTAAATTACCACTCTAGAAAACCCACTGAATTCAAGTGCATCCAATCTTTAGCTCATGTTTGTTAAGAACCAACCAACAAAGGAGGCGTTGGGGGCACACTCCTTTAATCCCAGCACTCCGGAGGCAGAGGCAGGCAGATCTCTGTGAGTTCGAGGCCAGCCTGGTCTCCAGAGCGAGTGCCAGGATAGGCTCCAAAGCTACACAGAGAAACCCTGTCTCGAAAAACCAAAAAAAAAAAAAAAAAACCCCTCTCGGAAAAAAAAAAAAAAAAAAAAAAAAAAAAAAAAAACCCAAAAAACAAAACCCAACTATTGCTGGGCACCAGGCACATGGGGAGTTTCCTAAAAGGCAAAGTTAGACTAGAAATGCAGCAGACAGGCCAGATGGCAGGACCCACCATCCATTTTCAGCAGCAAAGGCATAGACAACAAGGTAGTGAGAGGGAGACAGCCAGGTGCCTGCCGAAAGTAAAGGGTAGGATCTGTGTGGTGTGCTCAGACTTCCAGCACTCTGCTTTTGCCCACTGTCCCTGACACCAAGACTTGTCTGTTAGAAACACCCACATTTTTTTTTTCTAGATGGGGTTTCTTTGTAGCTTTGGAGCTTCACCTGGAAGCTGTGACCAGGCTGGCCTCGAACTCACAGAGATCCATCTGCCTCTGCCTCTCAAGTGCTGGAATTAAAGGTGAGCACCACCAACACCTGGTGGGAGCACCCACATTCTATTTCTAGCTCTGACTGTTTCCCTGCACTGCAGGCATGTACGTTCCACCTCAACAGACACTGTATCAATGCTGCCCCAGCTCTGGCTTGTTCTTCATCTGGCAGTCCCACATAGCGTGAAGCAAGTGGAACCTGGAGTCCTCTGTAGAGATAAGCACATACATCTTATGGCTGGGCAAGCCTGTGGTTTAAAGGTCTGCTGTATGGGAAAGAACAGAAAGGGGCGCTTAGTGGCTCTGAAGGAAGAAGGATGGAGTAAGAAGCAGTGGAAGAGACCAAGAAGACTTGGATTTTTCTGGAGACCAAGGGTGCTGGCTTTGGGGAGTGAGCAGGTGCTAATCCCTGCATCTCTGACTTGAGCAGAGGGTGGATTTCAGATCCTTTCCCATCTGTGATTTTTACCTCATTCCTATGTTTAGAGGGAAAGTGATAGACTGTGGGGTAGATCAGAAGGTCCATGAAGGTTAGTGGGAGATGAAGTGGGAGAGGCAAACAGATGCAGACCCTTTGACCCTTTGACAGAATTGTATTGTATCTAGTGAGCTGTTGCAGCTTTAGTGGTTTTGGAAAAATTAAACACATACCATGCTCACATCTGGAATTAAGGAGACCAGTGCAGAAACTACCATAATAGCCAAGGGGGGGGGGAGCCCACCATTTTTCACTGATTCTAACTCACACAGTGTTTCTGAGGTCAAGAAGTATCCTATGAATACTGCTGGACAAACTGCAGCTGTCCTGTGCTCATTCCTGCTTGTGCATGTGAGATCTTAAGGACAGCTATTAATAATTAATACTGTTGGCAGGTCAACAAACTCACTGTTATTGGTACCTCACAGAGTGAGTTTAATGACATGAAATGTCTTCAGAAAGATCATCAGGGGCCGAGGAGATGGCTCAGTCAGTATTGTCCTGGTTGCACAGGCATGGGGACGGAAGTTTGGTTGCCAGCACCAATGTAAAAGCTGGGCATGTAGGCCTGGAGAGATGGCTCAGGAGTTAAGAACATTGCAGGCTCTCCCAGAGGACTCAAGTTTGATTCCCAGCACCCACATGGCAGCTCACAACTGTCTGTAGTTCCAGTCTATGACAAAATACCAATGCACTTAAAAAATAAAAATAAATTAAAAATATTTTAAAAAAAAGGAAAAAAAAAAAAGCTGGGCATGTAATTCAGGTGCTTGGGACATCCTAGGGCTCACTGGACAGCTAGACAATCCTAATGTCTAGCCTAGTGAAAGACCCTGCTGGAAAAAAGTATAAAAGTGGATGGTGCATGAAGAGAAACAACATATGAAACTGTTCTCTGTTTCATACATGTACACATGCATGCAAGACATAATAGCATAAAAAAGTTGTAAATGTAAAAAGGCAGTGAGACTAAGTAATAGGTAATACATTTGGTATTAATAAAGTGCTGATGGACTGGAGATGGCTCACAGGTTAAGAGCACTGGCTGCCCTTCCAGAGGACCGAGGTTCAATCCCACATGGCTGCTTACAACTTTCTATAACTCAGGTTCCAGGGGATCTGATACCCTCACAAAGACATACATGTAGGCAAAACACAATGCACTTAAAATTAAAAAAAAATTAATAAAGTGTTGTCTTTGAGAAATGATTGTATTTTGTAGTTTTCTTGCAAGCAACACTGAGTACTTTATATGACCTAAAAAGGTGTTTCAGAGTCGATAAAGCAGTTATATTTTTGTCACTGAGATGTCTAACTTTCTGTTGGTATCTTCTGGTATCATTGAAAAAGCTCCCGTAATGGAACAGAATGGTAGGTGGGGCTGCAGCTTATCGGACATGGGTCCCAGGGTTAAATTCCCAGCACAACACCACTGTGAGCCAAAACCAAAACCAGACTGGGAATGCCAGTGATGACACAAGGGAAAATAGAGGCTGGTAACTGAACAGGACAGTGATTTGATGGTAGGATGGGAACGGAACAGAGTGATGATTATGAGGTTTCATGAAGGAAGAGCACAGAAGGGAATATACTGCAGTCAATTACAACAGTAACTTATTTTCCAGAGACCTTACCACTGAAATTCTGGGTTAAGCTATCTCAGCCCATGCAAATAACTCAGATCAGCAAATATTTCTTAACTAAAGACATAGCAGTGTCACAGATCCAGATTCAAAGACGCCCAAGATAGTTTCTTTCATGTTTACATTCTCCTTGCAAAGCACTTGCACGGAAATAGCTGAGCATCATGAGGGAAGGCAAAAAATAATTGACATCTGGCTTTATAGATGGCAATTATTCATATCCTAACATTCAGTTTTAAAGAAAAATATAAGATTAAAATTATAGCACATATCTGAACTTCATACATCTTAAATGTTTTTACTTGAAGAAAGAGTTTAAATGATGTGAGATTAAACCAAAAATAATTAAAATAGACCAAGACTTACAAAAAAATCCCTTAGCAGCAGCTCATGCTTATTAGCCCAGCACTCAGGAGTCAAGGGCCAGAGGATTAGATGTTTGCACCCATACTAAACTTCTGCCTCATCATGGCACCGTGGCACATCCCTTTAATCCAGCACTTAGGAGGTAAGGCAGGCAGACCTCTGGGAGTTCAAGGCCAGCCTGGTCTGCATAGTGAGATCCAGGCCAGTCAGGGTGACATGGTGAAACCCTGTCTCAACAGCAGCAAATGGACACTGTTGTAGAGACAATAGAGTCCTTTGGTAAGAACTTTGTGGCCACTGATCTGGGCTAGAAGAGCAAGGTGCACAGGTACTTACCTGCAAGCTTCTTGAGTGTAGCTGTATTAAAAATATTGAAGTAATGAACACCAAAGACTTTCCCCAGCAATTTGCAGACCTCTGTAAGTTCTCCAAGACACTTCTTAACTACCTCTTCTCTCTGGGATACTTTGGCCACTAAAGCTTTTTGTTTTTTTATGCTGCTGGAATTTTCTGTTTCCATGAAGTCCACCTTAGTGAGAAAGAAAGCAATCAGAGGCGTGGGCAGAAGTACACTTATTCCTAAGGAATGGCTCTTTTCAGTGTTTGACTTTATTTCTTATTTCTTTTAAAATTCTATTCATTAATATTTTGTGTGTGTGTTTGCATGAGTGTGCATATATGTATGTCTTGGTGAATGTGTAGAGGTCAGAGGACATTGTGGAGTCGGTTCTTTCCCTCTACCTGGGTTCTGGGGATCAAATTCAGGTTGCCAGGCTTGAATGGCAATACCTTTACCTCTGGAGCCACGTTGCCTATCCTGTATTGCTTTCCTGCCAAAAGGTAGTAAAACCCCCTTGGGAACAAGGGCTGTACATTTTTCATTTTTCTATTTCCAGGGCCTGGCAAATGAGAGCACCATTCAATAAGTGCTTATTTTTCTTCTATTTATTTGTGTGTATGTGTGCATGCCTGTATGCACACATACATGCATACTATGATGTGTATGCAAAAGACAATTTACAGGAATCTGCTCTCTCCTTTTGTTCACATAAGTCTCAGAGATTTAACTCAGGTCATGAAGCCTGGTAGTAAGTGCCTTTACCTACTTGCTGGCCCATAATGCTTATTGAACGAATATAGCAAGGTTTAGTAGTTTGAATATCTATTAAATTCATCTTGACAAATGTCATATAATTGGTTCAGTTTCAAGATCTCTTTCCAATTAAGATCATAATACATTCCTAAGGGAATGTATATGTAAATTTAGTACCTAAAGCTTCAGGAAGGATACCAAACTTTGTCATGATATATTCTGGTGCATTCACTGTGAGATAGTAAAATACTCATATGAAATACTTACCTTTAAATGGCCATTTAGCACATTTTGGGCTTTAGTTCCTAGCATCATATAGGCGATTGGTTGGTCATTGGCATTGATATATAAGTCTTCATCCAAAATTTTGTCCAGTATCAGCTTTTTAAAAAGTCTTTCGGCATTGTGTCGTGAATAAGAAGATCCCTTTCCAAATATTCCTGACTGAATCTTTGCACTCTTACTCCCTAGTAAGGTTCAGAAAGTCAGATGAGTCAGTATGGCTGTATCCTTATTCATACAGAAGAGACTAAATAGTCATTCAAGGGTGTCGTTGGAAAAACAGAAGGGATCATCTGTTCCACGGGAAACCCCACAGCACAAACAGACCCTCATTTCACAATTAAGAGCATATCTGAGGAGAATTCTAAGGTTTCTGTGGTGGCATGTACTTTTTTCTCTGAGTGGTGGGGGTGGGAGCCAGCACCTGTGCACACTGAGCTTGCACTCCACCCAGCCCTGGCTACTCCCATCTTTCCTTGTTTTATAACATGTTGACCAAAAACCACAGCAAAATTAAGACCAAAAACCACAACAAAATTAAGCTTGCTATTTCAAAATGTTGCACTCACAGCTTATAAAACTGTATTAGAAAAACAGAACAAAGGAATTAAGAATTCATGTAATAGCTTCACACTACTCTACTTTGTTTATGTTGTTTGTATTCTGAGACAGAGTCTCATGCAGCCCATGCTGGCCTCACAGTTGCCTGAACTACTGATCCTCCCATTTCCGCCTTCCAGGTGCTCAGAATTACAGGTATCTGTCACACCATCACACCCAGGTGTGTCACACCATCACCCCGCTCACAGGACTCTTAAAAGAATTTTTACTTATATATTCATTGTGGGTTCTCTCTCTCAACCACATGGGACCCAGGGATTGAACTCAGGTTGTCAGGATGGGTAGCAGGCATCTTTACCTGCTGAGCCATCTTGCTGGCCCTCAAAGACCTTTTGACATTTTTTTTCCAGAGCTGGGGCTGAACTAAGGATCTTCCACATGCTAGGTAAGAGCCTTCGAATCAGCTCTCTAAATATCATCTCTGGTCCTACTTATTTAATATCTATTCAATTATAAAGTACCTATTTTTTTTTAAAGATTTATTTACTATATATACAATTTTCTGCCTGCATGTATGCCTGCAGGCAGGAAGAGGGCACCAGATCTCATTATAGATGGTTGTGAGCCACCATGTGGGTGCTGGGAATTGAACTCAGGACCTCTGGAAGAACAGTCAGTGCTCTCAACCTCCAAGCCATCTCTCCAGGCCTAAAGTACATATTTTTAAGTCTGTTTATTTAGTTACACTTTGATAAAGCATATATAAATTCCAAAACCAACCTGTAGCATTTCACCAGATCTCAAAAGAGGTGAAGCTGGGAGTGCCTGCACTGCTCCTTTCTCTGTCACCCAAGAACAGCAGTGACCTTTTCATCTTAACACGATGTTAAGTTAAAAATTAAATTAAAAAATGTGGTTTTTTGTTTTAAAGACAGGGTAAGTTTCAAAAAAAATTTTTTTTTTCTTTTCTTTCTTTTTCTGGCCTGGCAGTGGTGGCACATGCCTTTTATCCCAGCACTTGGGAGGCCGAGGCAGGTAGATCTCTATGAGTTCAAGGCCAGGCTGGTCTACAGAATGAGTTCTAGGACAACCAGGGCTACACTGAGAAACCCTATCTTGAAAAACCAGAAATTTTTTTAAAGACAGGGTCTCATTATGTAGTTCTTATTGGTCTCGAAATTGCTATGTAGAACAGGATGGCCTTGAATTTATACAGACTTGCTTGCCTGTGTCTCAAGTGTTTGGGACTCAAAAAAACTTTTTGAGACAGTCTGTTATGCAATCCTGCTGGCTTGAAATTCAATACATAGACAAGATTAACTTTGAAATTGTAGTGATTTTCCTGTCTCTGTTTCCCAAGTGTAGATCAGGCTGGCCTCAAACTCAGAGTGTGCCACCACCTCCTGGCTACTAATCTTTTATAAATCTACATGATAAGTCTAACAGAGATGTGGGCAAAGATTTGTTTGAAAGACTATTTTACCATTCCATTTTTTATAATGGAAAATATGTCCTGAAATGAAACTGCTTAAAATTAGGAGACTGACTGTATCTTGTCATACACAAATGATATAAATTACATGGGCATTATGATGTATGACACCTTGGCAAGGGAGGGAGGGATATAGAGAAGAATGAGGGTGGACAGGCAAGTCACAATCTCACCTTCCCCTTCCCAGCCTCACTCTCCATCACCTTTAACTTGTACATGTTGTGCTAGGGTCAAGCCCAGGGATTAAGGGTATGTGCTACCATGCCGAGCCAGTCTGGATTTCTTTATGTAGGTTCTGGGGATCAAACTCAGGTCTTTATGTCATCTTGCCAGTCCTATTATGTTTTTCTATGTGAAAATTAGTGACTTTTTATTGCACTTGTAATCACTTCTTTAGATGTTTAATTTTAACTGATAGAACCCATACAGTACAGCAGATGACTTACCCAAGAAAATGTCGACCAGCATGTTTAGAGTAAATCTTCCAGAAGGACCTGTATTTCTTGTTCCTGGTGATGAACTGTGTTCTTTAACAAATCTTACAATATTTTTCACGTCATCCGTCACATCTTTTGTTTTATAATCCTATGAATAAAAAAATTACTTTCTGCTCTAATTAAGATGAGGAGACCCAGATTACTAGAGCTTAATATTAGTTGTGGTAAAACTTGTAATTCATTTTCACACTAAAATGTAGATTAAAAACTAAGGAAGTTTCAAATGTTCATTCTTAAGTTCTGGAATAATTAGGCCTCTATTGTGGGTATGTTATTGTTGCTTCAAACATGTATCTTGTCTTTCAACTACCTACCAGCACTCTGAGTAGGAAAAGTAAGTCCTTCATCCTTCACAGAGGTATTTTATGTCTCTTATGAGACGACAGCCTTTAGGATGAAAAGCACTGTCCATTAGTGCAGTTCACAAATTCTCTCATCTCTTTCCAGTCTTTGGTGCTATTGTTTTATTTTATTTTATTGACAAGGTCCCACTATATAGCCCTGGCTGGTCTGGAATTCACTATGTAGACCATGCTAGCATTGAACTCTAACATATACCTCTCGAGCGCTGGGATTAACTATATGGGCCACCAAACAAGGTGATCTCTTTTTTCCTAAATCATTTCCTTTTAGTTCCTCTTCTCATTTCCTCATCACTAGATGATCCTTCTGTTTCCATCTATCCTAATTCTCCATATTGGCATGTACCCTAAATTCCTAGAACAGAGCCTGCCACAGAGCAGGTACTCTGCAAGGAAGTGACTGACAGCATTTCTAAGGGTGCTGCAGGTGGAAAGGACAATGAATCTACAGATTTCCCACCAAGAGTAAATTACTCTCTGCTCTGTCTAGCCCTACTCATTGCTGTACTACTTATTAAGTACTACTTATTAAGCTGTATTACATGTCTGCCTCCCTTCAGTGGGTGTTCCTGGCACACTGCAGGTGTTAAATAATATAGCAAGTGTGCAAAAGTCTGTAAACAGTGAGCCATCATAAACATTAGAACATGAAACTGTAAGCCAGGTGTGGTGCCTAAATATCTGTAATGCCAATACTTGGGAGTATGAGGCAGAAGATTTGAGGCCAGCCTGGGCTATACTTGATTTCTGTTGCTGTTATAAAACATTCTGACCAAATGCAACTTAGGGGGAAAAAAGGATTTATTCCAATTTACAAGTATGTCTATCACTGACAGAAGATGGGGCAGGAACTTGAAACAGAAACCATGGAAGAACACTGCTTGTTGGCTCATGCTTAGCTAGCTTTCCTATATAGACTAGGACCATCTGCCCAGGGAATGTTGCTGCCCACAGTAGGCATACAGGCTAGTAGGATTTTTGGGCACTCCCTCAATTGAGACTCCTTTCTCAGTCGAATCTATGCTGTGCCAAGTTGACAGAGCAATCTAGGACAACTATTAAGATCTCTTTAAAAATATAAAATAAAGGCGGGCGTTGGTGGCACACGCCTTTAATCCCAGCACTCGGGAGGCAGAGGCAGG